ATATTACTAAGCCATTCCGTAAAATAACATCCTTTAATATATTAAGATGTTTAAAATGTTGTTCAATATTATCAGAGAATACTAAGATATCATCAATGTAAACAATTATAAAATCCATATAATGAATAAATATATCATTCATGATTTTCTGAAATTCAGAAGGAGTATTTTTTAATTCGAATGGCATCACATTCCATTCAAATTGTCCTATAGGCACATTAAAAGCAGTTCTATAAGTATGCTCAGGATTTATTTGAATTTACCAGTATCCAGATTTTAAATCAAATTTAGAAAATATATTGGCATTATATAATTTTGATAATAAATCTTTTTTATTAGGTATAGGATATCTTATCCATTTTAAAACTTTATTAAGTGGCTTATAGTTTATAACTAATCTCGGGACGCCACGTTCCTTTTCAGCTGCATTATTAACATAAAATGCAGTACATGACCAGGGAGATTGTGAAAGTTTTATTAAACCCTTTTGAAGCAAAGAATGTAATTCTTCTTTACATAAATTCATATATACAGAATTCATTTGACATGGTCGTGCCTTAGTAGGAATATTCTTTTCATTAAAATTATCTTCATAAGGAAGATTAACTAAATGTTTCTTTCTATTCCAAAAAGCATTTGGGTGATCAGCACATACTGATTCTTGAAATTGTATTGTGATATTTTTTATTTTTTCTTGTAATTTAGTATTACTCAATAATTCAGGTATTGATAAATTCATAATTTCATTTTTAATGAAAAATAATTGTTTTTCTTTAGCTTCTATTAATGACCTAATAGACCTTGTTATAGGGTCTGAGACAAACTGGAAATTTATTGATTTGTCTTTATAGGTTCCTATAAAACCTTGAAAATTAACTTCTTTAAGTGGATATAACATACATAAAATGGAAGTCCTAATATAATAGGCACTCTTGGCATATTTCTTACTAATAAAAATGTTTGTGGAAGACAAATATTATCTTGACAAACAAAAGCATTAGGCAATTTATATGAAATGTCTAATGTATGATTAGATGCGGATTTTAATGCATGCGAGGTTTTTTCAAAATATTGAGTGGGTATTAACCCTTCTTGAACACAAGACAAATCAGCACCACTGTCAATCATTGCAACAATGTTTAAGACAAATTGCCTATCTATCATTAGAGTTAATTTTATATACCATCTTTGAGATGTAATTATTTGTATTGTTTTTAAGAATTCATAATTATGATCTTCAGATATATTTTCAGCTAAATTCTGAAGTGTTTGTGGATCAACTATAGAGGTTTCACCTAATTGTGAATACTCAATTGTTTTAATCCTTTTTTCTAATAATTCGTTATTTTGTTTTAAATATTTTATCTCATTCTTTATAGTATTGACTTCTATTTGTAAATCCGAAATAGTTATAACTGAAGAAGATGATTCTTCTTTATTTAGTAATTTCTTCATTCTTTTTTCTATTTCCTGCATTGAATAAGGATTATTATTGAAAACAATATCATTTTTATTAACTTCTTTTTCTTTTTTATTAGACACATCTATCGTTTTAATTATTTTATCACGAATATCGTGATCTGGTATTTGTTTTAGTAGTTCTAAAACATTATCAGTTGTTAACATGTTAAATTGTAAATCTTGAAATTGAGATATAATATTGTAAAGATTATTATCTTTTTTTACAACAATCATTATTACTGTCATTTTGACATGGAAGACATTCATCCGAAGAACTAGATGAAAATTCATCATTTTCAAGCATATTATTTTCTGAGCTATTAGTTTCTTCTGTTTCAGATTCAGTATCTGATTCTTCTATTACTTTGCATATTTGTTCTTTAAGTTGTTCATCTATTTCTAATAGTCTTATTCTATTAATCTTTTTACAATTAGGAGCAATATGACCCTTTTGACCACATTTAAAACATGTTATGTCTCTTTTATTATTTTTTTTAATAGTTTTTCTAAATTCTCTCTGTTCTTTTGTTCTTTTACGTCGTCTTTTACCTTTAGGTATATAAGGAATTTTATTTTTCTTCATTCTTTTAGCCCTATTTTCTGGCCCTATTTCCATAGCAAATTGATCACAGAACTGACCTAATTGTCGTCGTTCTGATAATTGTTGTCGTTTAATTTGTTGATTTAACTTTATTTCATTACATAAAGCTAATCCTTCTTGTGTGCAAACACCTATTAGATGACCATAAGTATAATCATCATAAGGAATATAAGGAAAATCTTTCCTAAGAACTTTTCTTATTCGTTCAGCAAACAGAGTTGGTAAGCCATCTATAAATTTAGCTTTCCAATAAGAATTATTACTTTCTGGTAATTCCATGACTCTTGATAAGAATGAATCCTTATACCATCTAAAAGAAGTAAGTGTTTTACACTTAAAATTATTTAACAATGTTCGAATATTTTCTTCATTATTGGTGAATTTTTCAGAAAAATGTTCTAATATAGATGCTATCAAAGTATATACTGCATCTTCCATCATAATGGGTGTAGATGTTCATTCTCAATTTTTACTGTATTATAAATTTTTTGTCTATCATTTTCGGTTAAATAATTATCCCACCATCCTTTAAGGACACCAGTAAAACCACAAACAATCATTTTTGCGATTGCCTGATCTGTATTACCATTTGCTTTTGCAACTGAGGAGTACATTAACATCCTATGCACCATATTAGTTAATTGCCTATCAGTAAATCCATCACAATTCCATTCATAAACAGAACGACTACTATAACTATTAGCAAATTTATTATGTCTAGATTTATGAGAAAGACGATTTATTTCTTCTCGTAGAGTTTTATCAAAATCATTCTGTATATTTTCAAAAAATTCTAAAGTGGATAATTTAAGATTTTTAAATTTTTCTTCCAATAATTTTTCTAATACATGTGGAGATTCAAGATTATAATCTTTTACTGTAGGAGGAGGTTGTATAAAATTTTTTATTTTAATATCCTTATTTTTGTTTTCAATCAAAACTGGTTTAAGTGTTTGTTGAAGATTTTCTATGAGAGAAAATAATTTGTCAACTTTATCATGTAAAGAACTAATTTGTTCTCCTAAAATTTTTACATATAAATTTGTATAATTATTTTGCTGAATAAATTTATTTACTAAAGAAACAGTAGAAGGTAAAACTTCACTTTCAACTAATTTTTGAAAAGTAGAAAAAGTTATATGAGTTGCATTTGTTAGAACAAATTCTTTTTGTGGGGGGTAAATTCCCTTTGTAATTTTTCCATCTGCAAGATGATATTCTCTTTCAAGGAGGAAAATATATTTATCAAGATAAGTGATTATAAACCACGGAACAAAATATATTATTTGATTGTGAAAAGAAGCATATTCATAAAATTCTTTTTGTATAAGTTTTTGATTTTCAATATCATAAGTAGAAAAGAACCATTCTCTGAAAAGTTTCCACTTTTCAGATTGAAATTCTTGTCTTATTATTTGTCTAATATTAGATCCTGGACTAAAATCTAATTTTTTCAGTATTCGCCATGATAACCCATTTCAGAAGGTGAATGCATATCCTTATCAGAAGTCTTACTATCAGCAGACCGAACAATGTTATATGGATTAATTTTTACTTGATTTATTCTATTTGTGAAATCTATTTCAGGAATCGAAGATGTTGAAAATCTATGAGAATCGACTGGATCAATATAAGATTTAAAAGATCTTTGAGAGCGAGATCTTAGTAATTTAGGAATTTTTGGTTTATCAAAAGTAATACTTATCTGAACCATTATCAGATTGTTCAATTTCTGTAATATTACTACTCGTAACATTATGAGTTAATGAGTTTCTTTTAATTCCTTTATTAATTTGCCAAGACTCTGGAAATTCAATTTCTTCCCATTTAATAGTTTTACGAGTACTAATTTGAGATTTATAAAAATTAGTTTTTATAAGTATGGTTTCATCAGATGGTTTACTTATAATCTTACATCTGGGTGTTAAAGTATTTAATAATTTAAAACAAATACGGTAATGTAAACAAATAAGTTCACTTCCCGGTAAATAATTATAACCATGTAATTTTACATTTAATGTTAAAGCATCGAGTATATTAACATCAGACAATGATAACTGTAAATTTGGATAAACATTAAAATAAACTGGACCATGAGCTAAGCTGGACTGTATTATGCCCATTAGGGATTTTTTCCAATGTAAATTTCTACCATCATGTAAGGCAGCAACAAAAGATTCAGGTAAACCTTCTAAAGTTAAAGGTTTAAATGTAATTTGCACCAATCCAATATGCATAAACTTGTAATTTTTATTAGATCTATAAGATTCAATATCTGTAGCAGACAAAAGTTGTAAAACCCTTTCATCAGAACTTAAAGCAATTGATTGTTCAGTAGTTTTAACTACCTGTTTAACGAAGTATCGATCAAACATACCATATTCATACAAAGTATTAGTGGGTACCTTTGGTATTGACCATTTATTAAGAAGAGCAAGCTGTTGAGGCATATTGTATTCCTCTTGAACTGAATTTTTTATTGAAGTGGTTTCTAAATCACATATGTACATTTTTATTTATATTCTGTTTTTTGGTAAGTCATACACATGAGAGTCATAAGGGAGTTAATTATTTTTTTAAAAAAATTAATTGACACCGTGAAATCAAAGGAAATGAGAGGATAGCTAGTTGAGTAAGGGTAATTTTGGTAAAATATTAAAAATTTATTTTGGATGCTAAAAACTGTTTTGGTAGAATTTAAACCTTTTATTAATCATTTGTTTCTGAAAAAATAAAATCACAAATGGACAATTTGCCACCAATATAAAATAGTTGTTCTTTTAATTTTATTAGGTAGGCTTTATGAACTCTAATTTAATGTTCTACTCTAGCAAATTCTGTTTTGGAATTAAAATAGAATTTTAGTGCTTTTAATTAGTTCTCTTTTTTATAAAAAAAAAATTAGTTCTCTTTTAATTATCCATTTGAAATGTTAATTCTGAGTGTATCCTCAATACTGTACAGTGTCGTAGTCTTGTTCTTTGTTTCCTTGGATAGATTTAGAAATTTGATTTAAATCATCCATCGGTTTCCCGCCTCTGAAAAATTCAAACTTCTTTCCTCTACTGCTACACTTCAATTTTCCGACTCCAAAACTAGACGCCGGTACGGACATGGCCGTAATTTCGAAAGTCGTTCCTACCGCCTCCGCCGCTTCCGTCGCCGCCGATCCCCTCTTACAATTTCTCTGGTGAACCACCCCAAACCTAGACATCTCAGATTCATTTCTATTCCTTTGGTTTTCTGTCTTTTAACTATCAATTTTTTTTAAAAAAAATTGCTCGAATTCAAGGTCAATCGAGGAAGCCCTGAGTTCAAGCACCGGCGCGGATCTTGATGAGCTCGTATCGAGTTGTATTGAAAATTTTAAGAGCGATCCTCGTTACAAAAACGACGTCAGATTTCTCAAGATTTGGTTCCTCCACGTAAGAAGAATTCACTTGTTTTTTTTTTTTTTTTTTTTTCTATTTGAGGTTTCCTGTTCTGTGTCGTCTGTTAGGTTTTAGGGTAAATGGTTTGTTGACTTGTTGTGATTATCTGCAGATGGATGGAAGGTCTGATTATGATAGCGTGTATGCAGAAATGGAGAAACATAGGATTTGTCTTACCAATTCCTTGCTGTATGAGTTTTTTGCTCAACTTTTGGAGGCCAAAGGAAGGCTAATTGATGCATATATGATCTATCATTTGGGCATTTCAAGGTCTAAGTTCCTTTTCGTCTTTTTTTCTTTTTTCTTTTTTTGGTTATCTTGAATTGAGAAACCTCTTACTATTATTTATATAAATGCTTGATCAGGAGAAATGTTTATGAAAAGCTAATGTCATTGTTGTGCAGGAATGCTGAACCAATAGGGAGGTTGAAGAAAGCACATGTTTTATTTCTGGAGAGGATTTCAGATCGAGTAACAATTGGTTTACTTCCAAAGGTTAGTTTTTCTTTTTTCCTTTTTTTTTTGTGCCCCGCGCGGGGGGTGGTGAATTAGCTCTGTAAATTAGTTGAAAGAGATACACACTTGCGTGATTGAAGTTGATTTTTGACAAATTGGGATTGAAATGTTCTAAATATGTTCCCGTGGAAGCCATCCTTGATCAATTCCCTCATATTTGAGTTGCCTCTGAATGCTGTATAGTTACAAATCAATCTTGTTTAAATGGTCTTTAGTGGACCATTTCGTTACCTTTGTAGGGATTTGAGTACCTGTGCTTCATTGAGTTACTCATTTTGTTTTTAAATATGGCTTCATTTTCACATGTTACTGTATCTGTAAAAGAAGTCTTCTTGAAGCTTACGAGGGGAAGGCTCGGACTAAATGGTTTCAGGAGAGAATATTTGGAGTGGATGCTCTATTTTGAATAGCATAAATGTAGTCTACCCTTATTTGCTTTGTAATTAAATATTTATGTTTTCAATTCCAAAAAAATATTTATGTTTTGGGAGCGTCTGTAATTCATTCCACTACCTTTCAAGCTTCAAGGTTCTTTACCGTGTATTTTTTCCTTTCTAAAAGTTACAAGACTAAGATGATGGACTTTATACTGTAGATTGATGAGATCGATGGGAGCCATGTCAACCCATGGTTAATCTCAACCATCAAAAATCAATTGCAGAATCTGAAGCCTCCATTACTGAACTATGAGGTGAGATTAATTACTGATTTTATTGGATAATTTCTCAGGTGAAAGAGTATCCGTCTAATATTTACGAGCCGCTTTCCTTATCTTGGCAGGGATATTACGAGAATAAGAAACCATATAAGGGAAAAGTTGCATTGTCTAATTTGCTGAAATCTGCACGGAATAAGACCATTGAGATTGGTATTGGCTGAGATCTCTTAACACTGTGGAGTGGTTTAATTATTTTGATATTGTCATTTATTTTCTTATGTTTTGAAGTGTAGCTTGTTGCAATATGCATAAAACGAGAGGTTCTTGAAACTTTATCGTAGATTGTGCTTAGTAATGTAGTCCTGCTGTTATTAATGAGAGAGTAATCATTAATAAACTTGCAAGCTTGGAGATTCAGGATATTCTTGCTGTGGAAATGAAAATTTCCTTTGATCCACATTAACTAATGAAAAGCAAAAGTAGTTACATGAAACTGGGCTGTACTTCTCTCTCTAGTGCTTGTATATGAAATGAACTTTCTTTTGATCCGTGATAACAAATGGAAATAAAATTGTCAAAGGAAGTGTGCCTCGATTCCTTGAGTGCTTGTATATGATAGATGTATTAAAGATTTTGATATCAGTATTTAGAAAGTATTGGTGTAACTATGAAACTGCCGAGGAAATACAGGATCTAAGCCTACTTTTTTCATGTCTGGATACTTTAGGTGGTTACAAGTACCAAATCAAAGGCCGTGCAGGTCAAGGTGGATTTGCTCAAGTATTTAAAGCATTTGAAGATGGTAATCCTGAAGACGTGGTAGCGCTTAAGGTAATTTTGGCATTTAAACTAGAATACTAGATGACAATGCTGCTTGAGTCTGTTCTTTCTGATAATTCTGCGGCTTCATGTAACTTTCTATCAGATCCAGAAGCCAGCTTTCCCCTGGGAGTTTTATATCTATCGCCAGCTTGATACTCGGATCCCAAAAACAGAAGTATGCCATTTGTTTGAATAGTTATCCTTTCTGCCATTGTTAGTTACATAGTCTAAGTCCCATAATGTGTTTTCTTTTTGTAAACCAGAGGAAGAACTTTGGTCTGGCGCACCGACTACATCTCTATTCTGACTACAGCATACTTGTTTCTGACTTTTTGGCCCATGGGACGCTTCAGGTAGCTTTTTTATAATTTGTACATATTTTAGCATATGATGTCAAACCTACCTACAGCTTATCTGATCTGCATGTGATTCAGGATGCTATAAACTCTTACCATGTAACTGGTGCATTCATGGAAGAAGAATTGTGTATATATTATACAATAGAGATGCTTTGCATCTTGGAAACACTACATGATGCTGCAATTATTCATGGTGATTTCAAACCTGATAATCTGTTAATTCGACATGCCAGGTAGTCACAGTTGCTTTATCATTTTTGTCATGAATGTAATGTAAATTTTCTCAGTTTATTCATTGATTGTTCATCTCATTATATGGCAATGATATGCATGTTGCTGCAATTGTATGTACCTTTCCTAACTGATAGCTGTAAAGTGTGGCTCTTTTTCCATTTTTTCCCCCCTCCAAGATAGATGTGAAGATAGCTTTGAAATACAGGTGAGATTGATTACCATATCCTTCTTTTTGAGGGAAAAAGTTACCATATTCTTCTTTTTGAGGTAAAAAGTTACCATATTCTAACTACATAAAATGGCATAATGGCAAATGATATTATGCTATATGTTGAACCAAAAGTATTTATGAAGTTGATCAAGCATCATGGAATGATGTGTTCATTGCTGTTTTAGTTAGCATGTAGTTGTAACTGCTATTACTAAAAGTGAAATTTATATCAAGAACAGAGAATCACCGTAAGGGTAAAGAATTATTGCGGCTCTTCACAGTAAAGCATTGACATGGTCACAAAAAGTTCTCCTCATTAAGTGTGGAAAATGATTAGCCTGAAGAAGGAAAAAATGAAGGAGATCATCAGCAACCCTCATTGTACACCTTAAAGAACTTTTCTCCCTGATTCTGGATTCAATATCATAAGCCACTAACAGAGATCTGATTTCGCTTTACCTTGTTGTTTGACATATTCTGTTGTCTTGTAAATAAGAAGCTTGAAGGATGTCAACATTGAAGAATGTGGTCGACTTTTAGACTTTTGCATGATATATTATCATTACTAGTATGCATGCTTTCCGAAATTTTAAGCTCTGGCATCAATATGGTTTTCTGCTTCCTAGATGAGCGATCACTGTGCTGTGTTTTTTTTTTTTAAAAAAAAACTTTATGTTTATACGTGTGGTTTTAACTGTTAAAAGTGTGCATCTCCTTCCTGTTTCATGTCAGCATTGATAATGTTAAGGAAAAAGTATGAATTTTAAAATTTGATTTTGCTGACCTTTTGGCAGAGACGATCTGATGGACGATAAAGATGGCTTTTGCAAACACACTGGTTCCTGGAGGGATCAGGTAAAATTCTGGATGTCTTAAACCTATGTTATTCAAACAGCTATGCTAAATGGTTGGACTTTCATTGAGCAGGGACTTTGCCTTGTTGACTGGGGAAGGGGCATAGACATGCACCTGTATCCTGCTAATACATTATTTATGGGAGACTGCCGGACTTCAGGCTTTCGTTGCATTGAAATGCAAGAAAAAAGGCCTTGGACGTATCAGGCAAGTCTGAGTTTGATACTGTAGCAAGTTGAAGTCAATTTATCTGTTTCAAAGTGTTATGCAGCAGCTTACTTTAACTTTGGATTCCACCAGGTGGACGCCTACGGCCTTTGTGTTATTGTTCATTTGATGCTTCACGACTCATATATGGAACTTGAGAAAAGACCATCTCGAGGAGGGGACTATATTTATCAGCCTAAGAAACCCTTCAAGAGGTAATGCATCAGAACTGACGAACACTTCAATATACAAGTCTATTCGTTTCTTCCTCGATTTATTCTTAAGATCATTGTCAGATATTGGCAAGCGGAACTATGGAAAAACCTTTTCACAAAGTTGATAAACTCAAATCCAAGTGAAGATCATAAAAGTATGCTACAGAATCTGAGACAGTCATTCCAGGATCACATGTGCTCAAATCCTCAGCTAATAGAAAAGCTAAAGCATTTGTTGGTGAAGCAAAAAACTTCCCTATGTGCTTAGCAGTGGACAAATTACTCATTTGAGCTCAGGCAACCTTTTCAGAAAGGTACACTGGCTAGTATCCATTTGTCAACTTACTGGTCAGAAAATGTTAATGTACAGTCTGAAGTTGTTTGTATGTGGAAAATCTCATCCTGCAAAATGTAACGTTTATTATCAGTGTTTGGTTCCTACAATCGATTGTAGCATATGATCTATATAGCTGATCTATCTACATGGAAAAAAATGCTTAGAAGTCGAATTTCTATCCTACTGGGGGGAACTCTCTCCGTCGCTCTGGGTGACATCTGATCATTGTTGATGGGATCAGGCTTCTGCATTGCTTGTGCAGAGTTTGCTGCTTCATTCTCAAGCACATTATGCATTCTGTAGAAATTGTTTTAATTTGATGAAGTTCAAATTCTTGAGTTCCTTCTTGCTTGCTTTTTTCGTGTTGCAGTGTTATCAGATCAATATGGAGTTTTATTTCTTTCGCATAGAAATATATAAAGTTATAAAATTTCTTTTCCAGAAACCGGAATCAATATTTGTGAATTTGCAATGTGGACAAACCAACATATTGTACTGTTAAAAATTTTAACGCAGACTCATTAGCGGCTTTGGCGATGGGGAGCCCTGCTGGTGTTCAATGGCTAGATGACCCGCCGGATAGTATAAAACCTTGGCTTCATCGTGACAATGTTGGTGTCTCGTACCAACGTGCTATAATAGTCTAGAGTTTCAGGCATTTGCCTCCTTCTTAGTACCAAAAAATAAAATAAAATAAAAAAAATTTATCATTCGTCACAAATAGAGAGAATCATGCTTATAATAAAATTTTAATTTGATAAATAAAACTGGTTCTTTAAATTCAAGGAGAGTATTAAAATGACAAATTAATATTGAGCAAAAACTTGTATTTTCTGTTTAGTACCTTAATTGTGTGGCAGAGACTTCATTACTAAAACATTACTGTATTCACCACAAATTCATTCATATGATCTTTATTTTCACCTAAATCATATGAGTTTTGTTATTACTACATTTATCTCCGAGCACAACTACATTTATCTCCGAGCATTGTGCGGTTTAAAAATGGATTCTCAAAATGACTCCTAAATCTAGTCCAAAATAAAAGGCACATAATTATAAAAAAAATGCATATAATATAAGAATAAAAGTTGATGATCATCAAACTCGTCAACTTAGTTGATTCTCTACCTGTTGGAAGACAAAAATGAACTCTTTTGGGGGACTTCTGGACGCAAGTTTTATAAGTTAATTGAATGGACATATCTTTACATGTTTTTGAACTTTATAGGCAAGAATAAAAATTCTAAAACTATCTTAAATTACATTTAAGGTCCATTCCAAACAATTTTATTATGTCCTTAGTTTTTCACAAAAAAAGAAAAATTAATAAAATATATCTAGATTCCAGCAGAAATAATCCTAATTAATAACATCTATTTAGATATTCTAACGAAACTAATATTAATCAATTAATAGCAGAATATTTACTAATTTTTTTATATAAATAAAGAAATTAAAATAAAGTCATGATAATCAGGGTTTTCAATTTTACGAATAGTTGTGTGCATAAGATTAAGGAATAACATTTGTTTGAAATTATGTGGTTGATTGGCTTGGTATTCATTGTTTATCATATAGTCAGACTCAGTGGAGAAGGACTATGCTGTCTGTGTGAAAGAATGCAAAACTCAGAAGGAAAATCCTCTTTGCAGCTATGGCTGCTACAGTTTATCATGTCTAGGAAGAGCGTAACGGCCGTATTTTTGCTGGGAAGAGTAGATCTGTTGAAGTTGTGTTCCTATTGATTAAACAGGAAATTAGATGGAGGGTAGAACACTGTTTAGGAACTAAAAGAACAGAAAGAGAGCTTAATGTTTTGGCAGCAGTATTTCCATAAACTTGTATAGTGATAGAGGGTAGCAGTAAATCACAGTTTTGTAACAGAAAAGTAGAACTTTCTATGGTTGTAAATATGCTCTTCTTGCCAATCAATGAAATTATTTACATTTTATCAAAAAAAAAAATATTTTGTTTAAATTTTCATGGTCAGAATCCGTGTTTTTTTTTATTGTGTCAATAGTTGTCTTAAAATATGTCAACATATGATGAAACATAATCGCTAATTTAGACATTGAAGTATGGTTACAAATTAATTTAACTTAGTTATAATTATTTTTTTACACTTTAGTATATTCTCGTATTACGATATCCTATTAAGAGAAGGAATGGTATTGCATCAACAGTCCCGAAACCAAATTAAGGAGGGAAAAGGTGAAAAGCCTATCTACATAAATATTAGGGGTGTTCACGGTCCGGATTAGTCCGGATTGATAGCAATTTGTAACCAAACCGTTTATTACGGTTTGAAAAATTTTCAATCCGTAACCGGACCGGATTGGTGTATAATCCGGACCAATCCAATCCGTTTTTAACGGTTTGGTTTGGGCGGATTGGGCTTGTGATTGGACTTTTTCATTTTGGGCAAAAAATTAAACATTTTTTTGTTGTTGGACCTTTTGGGAGGGTTTTTCCTGAAATTTTTTGGGCCTTTTTCAGCTTTTTTTTTGGAGGCTTTTCTTGAAAAGGAAAAAAAAAAACTTAGTCCATGGGGGATTCGAACACACAACCTTCAGTAAGGTCTAATGGGCGGATTGGGCTTGTGATTGGACTTTTTCATTTTGGGCAAAAAATTAAACATTTTTTTGTTGTTGGACCTTTTTGGGGGGTTTTTCTTGAAATTTTTTGGGCCTTTTTCAGCTTTTTTTTTTGGAGGCTTTTCTTGAAAAGGAAAAAAAAAAAACTTAGTCCATGGGGGATTCGAACACACAACCTTTAGTAAGGTCTAATGTAGAGGGAACAATAACAATGTCAATGGGACAACTGAGCACTTTCGATAAAGTCTCTATTCGACGCTATATATACAAAACCAATATATTATTATTTAATAATATATATACGGTCCGGTCCGGATTGACAGACTGTTTGACAGTGCCAAATCGTAATCCGGAACGGATTGACTGGTTTTTAATTTTTCAAACCGCCGGTTTAAAAATATAATTATAATCCGCCCGTTAATCTGAACCGATGACCGGATTGGGCGGTTCCACCGATTTGAGCCAAACCATGAACACCCCTAATAAATATAACCTCTCTGCCTCACATCGGTTCATCCTAACAATTTAGGAATCCATACGTTTGTCAAATATCGAATCAGGAAAGAGTGCGAAGTAATACAAAAACAATGTTGGAACAGTTAATTATTTTCACCAGAGGGGGGTTAATCCTGTGGACATTTAAGGAGCTAGGAATTGCTCTGAAAGGATCGCCATTTGGTACCCTAATTAGGTGTTGTCTCTTGGGGGATCAATCAGGTGCTTCATCATACAACTACGAAATAACATCTGGGCCTTCCTACACTCTCAAATGGACATTCAACAACGATCTAGGGCTCGTGTTCGCCGCAGTTTATCAGCGGATTCTCCATCTAATGTACATGGATGATTTGCTGGAGATGGTTAAAAAAGAGTTTTCCAAAGAATATGAACCTAAATGAATGGTGTATAATGATTTTGATGATATCTTTCAGCAGCTTAAGAAAGAATCCGAGGATCGCGCCGAGAAAGCCAGGAAACCTAAGCAGCCTGCGAAGGTTAGCGCCGGCATAAGTAATGTGGTTATGGGTAAGAGAGCTGCTGATGAAGGTAAACAAAAAAAGAGTGATGATGAGGGTAAGGATGGTAAGAAGTCTAAATTTAATGCACTCGAAGACGGGCATTCCAATGGCGATCGTGTCGCGAAAGTGGAAGTAGCTGCAGAAAAATATGATAATGGTGATGGAAATCGGAGTTCTACTACTATGGCTTTTGACAGAGATAAGCTGAAGAAGCTGCGAGGAGGAGGAGGCAAAGCTGCAAAAGAAAACTACAAAGTGTCCCAAGGAGGCCATCAAGAAAGTGCCGAGCGTTTGGAATGATTCGCGTCCGCTTTCACGAAAAGGAGTTGGATTTTTCTACTGATCATGATCTTGTGAGTGAAAATGTTGCTGCTTTCGCTATGGATCATGGAGGCGAGAGTATGATGGACAAGGAGGAAATTGAAGCAGAGGAAACATAGAAGGATTCTTAGACTACTGAGACAAAGAAGAATAATGGGTGGTTTTCAACCATGTTTAATTGTGTCGTTGGAAAGGCGAGTCTAGATAAGGCTGATCTTGAACCTACTTTGAAGGCTCTGAAAGATACGTTGATTGCCAAGAATGTGGCTCAGGAAATACCTGACGTAATCTGCGACTCTGTCGCAGCAAGCCTCTAGGGTAAAACTCTGGCCTCGTTTAGTAGGATTTCCTCAACTGTGAAGGCCTCGATGGAAGAGGCGATTGGTCGTGTTTTAACCCGTAGATGGTCGATTGACATTTTGAGGGATGTTTATGCTGCAAAAGATCAAGGGATGATATTAGTCTATTTGTGATCATATTGGTGATGATATAATATTTCACATTGCATATACTAATTGGTCTGAAATCACACGTTGTTATTGGATTGGGAGTTTTTGGAATGAGGGCAATGCTGGTCTGATTCCATTCCAATGGGAAATGTTGCTGGTTGATTGCTTCCAGAATTGTTGATTCTAGTTTCTGACCAATTATTTGTTTGTAGGTCTTGTAAAAACCAGCTGGCATACCATCAGGTCTTGGTGATTTCCAGGGCTCCATTTGTGTAGGAGCCTCCCAAATTTCTGATGAGGAATATGGTTGTTCCAAAGCGTGTATTTGTTCCTGAGTGAGGCATTCCTCTACATTTTCCAAAAATTGTATGAAAAAGGGGGATAAACATGGCATTTGATTACTGGTTTCCATAACTCCATAAACGCTGAGAAGTGGTTCTGGAAGGTATCAGCTATCAGAGTATGTTCTTGCACCCAATTTCCTTGAGGTGACCTGATTTCTGTGATCCATTTATTTCTTTTTCTCCTGGTAGCCTGCTTATGGAAGAACTTTGAATTTTTGTCAACCTAAATTGGCCATATCAACTTGGATCTTTGTTCCCAATAATGCTGTTGAAACTGGAGAGCTTGTTCTAGCTCAGTTTTCAGTGAGTCCAATTGATGTACGAGGTCTTCATCTGTTGGATTTTCCTCCCACTACAATTATAGAACAACTAGTTGTGTAGTTAGTTTGGTAACAAGTTTGTCCATATTACCAAAGTTTTCTTTGCTCTAATTGTGTATACTGGTGGATGCTGTCGTTGATAGTCCCAAAAGAATATTTGTAAAATCTACTCAAAACTATTAGCTAGAGGTAAGTAGGGCCGTTTCATAGATATGGCAGTCAACCACTCTAAATCTGATCAAAGTGCAAGAAAAGGAAAGTAAATGAGCTGATACAGATTGTCACTTGGGAGAGTGAGGATAGTCACTTGACAGAGTGAAGAGGCAGAAGGGTCAATCATCTTCCTACCTTTATGATCCAGTTTTGATTCAAGTGAACCTGTAGTGTTTGATTAGTTGTTTGACCATGCACATATATTCTTTATAATTCCTCTCAGACAAAATAAAAAGTCCTAGATTATCTAAATTATGTAACTCATAGCCAGAGTAATTCATTAACCTAAGCCATTTAATTCATAAGCCCTCTCTGATCACCTATGCCAACCACTTAACTCTCGTTGATGTTTGGAACTAAAGGGTAGATTTCCTCCCTTGTCATAGACTAGATTAAGCAGTTCTAAAGTTATGCTCCCCCTCTCAGATCTTTGTAACTATGCAAGCACAATTAATTAAGTGGCCAGTTTAATTAAAAGGTTAATTAAATCACTTATCTAGCACAACACCTCATCAAGGCAAACTGAATCAAAACTTTCACATAAAAATAGTAGGGATTGAACCCTCAACTGAGTTAGCTACTCATGTTTATTGAATTAAATATGAGAGCAACAAAGTACAAAAGATAAGACATGAATCAAGATCAAAAGGTTAGAGGATAGAAGGGAAGATGGTAGCAGGGGCAATTTCTGTCTGCTCACTATGGTGAGTGGCGTTCACCACTTGACAGGGTGATAGTCTGCACTATTACTCCTTCTACTACCCGATTTTTAACCAACTAACTACCTAAGTACTGTCTTTGTAACTGATTCTAACTACCCAATCTGTATATCCATTTAACTGCTATTGGCTAACTATTTATAGAGATTTGGAGAGGCTTGGATTGGTGGACTTATGGCCTTCTTTGCAGCAGATTGGAGGAGGCAGCAAGTTGCAGCTGAAGGCATTTGTTTATTCAGCAACTTGCCCAATTGGCAAGTTGTTGTCTTCTCTTGGCAGCTCTTCTTCTCTTCAGCCGCAATTCAGCCACCTTCTACTCATCATTGCTCTTATCCTTAGTCTTCTCCTCCGGTACATCCTCACCATTTGCAGCCATAAATCTCCATTTCTTCATTTTTTAATCCTCACAGCCCAATTGTAGCAGTCAGCAAGCAGCAGCATCAGCAGCATGCTTCCTTCAATCATTGTGTTTTCAGCCCCCAATTCAGCCCCAATCTTCTGCCCTTTTCTTTCTTGTTTCCTAGGTCACTTGCTCCACCATTGCTCACCCTTTTGCAGCAGCAAATCCATCAACTCAGCAGCAGCATCAGTGGTTAAGTAGCAGAATTGCAGCTGTTGTTCTTCACATATTCTCCCTCTTTATTTTCTTTCACTTGCAGCAGCAACAACTTGCAGTGATGGCAAAGCAATTCCTTCCTTGGATTTCAGCTCATGGCTCTTCCTTGATTGATAGCAGCAACAGATACTGTAGCAGCAACTTGACAGCAGAGCAGCTGCCATTCTTCTCTTCAATTGAGTATGCTACTGCAGATTCTCTCCAATTGTGATCATCTGCTGCCAATCTTCCTTTCTCACAAGGATCTTCCACTTGTTCCGACTCTGATCTTCCCTCCAGTAGCTTGAATTTCTGCAGCTTCTAAAACAGTCCAGAATGATGCTCTTTTGTGCAATTTGGCCCTCATTTATGCTGATTTTTCACATTGGCCCCTTGATTACCCTAAAATACAAAATCAACCCAAAAGTAAACTAATTCTATCTAATTGACATCTAATTCTAAGTAAAAATGAGTAGAAAATGCCTGCTAATAGTGTATAAATTTTACTGTCATTAGATTTTCCCAAACTTGAAGTGTTGCTTGTCCTCAAGCAACAAACCTCAAACTCAAAGGTTTGCTGATCCTTAAGCAAACAAATTCAGAATTCATTCCTACTGACATAGACACAGAAAGACTGACTCGGAGAGAAGGAGTGGAGTTTTTACTTTTTTCATGGATAAGTGTAATGACAGTGATCGAAATGAATGTGGCTAAATGAACAAGATTAAATGTAACATTGTACCAATGTTAGTCTCAGATTCAAGTCCCTCAATGGACAGCTTATACACCGTTGTTTATCACAGAAAGATAGCATCACAGTTCTTCAGTGTGTGCGTGCATATGTCACAGTCAAAATTCAAGTTTTTACCTATGATCCATTCTAAGATTACCCAGTTTAAGAACAAATGGACATCATTGTGATCAGTACCTATTTCCTGCATGTCATCAACTAGGGTATTCCCACTGGGATTTTCAGATTCTAAGGACTTCCTCATATAACTGCAAGATTCATTGGTTGCATCTTATTTATCCCTCAACCCTTTTTCTCCTTGTTCATATGACTTTTCTTCTGGATCTTTCCCACTCAGGCCCCTACCCAGAGTATTTTTTCACTTGATTGATATAATGATTTTCATAGTAGCTCAGCAACTTAGGGTAGTTTATATCTTCTTTTTTTTTTTTTTTCCATTTTCTCTCACCAGGCCTGAGGACTCTCTATTTATTTTCCAAACCTAAATACTCAGAGCTATTATTGCCTCATTAGACAGTCTTCCTTACTTTCCTCATTGGATATATATATATATTTTCAGTAGAATTTCAACCGCCTGTCATCCCCCTTTCCCAAGGTTTTTAGGTTTTTTACAGACCAGCATGGTCTCTTATAGAGTCTGCCATGATGCGAAGGGTTGCCTTAGTCTTCACTCAGAATTATAGTCCCCCCAGGTTTCATACAAGTGGACTCTAGTATGAGATCAAAACAATACAATTAGGCATTCAGATTTTAAATTTGAGCTCAGAACTCTCACTTTGGCAAGATACACAGTGTGCTCGAGAAAGTGAAGAACTATAGACTGACTTCAAGTGAATCAACAAGTGTTCAAAATTTCAAAATTTCCTGCACATTTTTGAATCATCATAGACATTTGACATTGTATATACATGAACCAATTCAACTTGCACACAATCTGCTAAATTTTATTTTATTTTTTGTTTTTTCAAAATTTGATCCTGTAAGAACATAACATACAAACCTAGACTAATCCCTCCCCCAAACTTAAAATAAGCATTGTCCTCAATGCTTGCAAACACAGAAATAGGAGAAGGACAAACACAAACACTTAGCATGCAATTCAACTGTAATCAGAAAAATCATCACACAAAGTGGATTCTATCTAGCCTAAGGACTCTAAGACACACAAACAGACACAAAAAAACAGAAAAATTAAAAAACAGAAAATAAAAGAAAAGAAAAACTAAAAGAAAACAGAGTACTCCCCTGGGTAATTATGGGTTCATCCCTTGAAAGGGATGAGGTGGGCTATCATCAATTTTTATGCAGGAGCTAGAACATTCTAGCTTGTCATGAATGTGCTTGAGCTTCCTTTCAAAATGCTGGAATCCTTGGTGAATATAATTGAGCATATAGGATTGCTGCTTTGAAAAGTCCCTCCTCCTGCAGTCTGGCATTGGTGCTGGCTCATCATAGAGCTTTTCAGGTGGCTCCTTTGCTAGAGATTTATAGCTCCAGAGTGCTGGGTTATGCAATTGTATATCCTCTGGAGTAAATGGCACTCCCGACCTTCCCATTAGCATTGTCACCAACACCGGAAAATACCAAC